ATAAGGAAGATCGTAGAAGAATTGATGCCTTTGAGTTGTGGTGTTGGAGGAGAATACTGAAAGTGCCATGGACTGCCAAAAGAACCAATAGATTTGTTTTGGAAGAAGTGCAACCAGAGTGCTCCTTGGAGGCCAAGATGGCTAGGCTTCATCTCTCATACTTTGGGACACATTGTCCGGAGAGAATGGTCGCTGGAGAAGGATGTCATGCTGGGTAAGGCGGAGGTCAGAGAAAAAGAGGAAGACCCCCAACGAGATGGATCAGCCATGTAGCATCATTGATGGCGTCAAGTGTGGCGGCGGTAGTGAGGTTGGCCCAGGATCGGACATTGTTTCGTTCTGCTGTGCATGGGGTCGCTATGAGTCGGTTCCGAGTCGCTATGAGTCGATGGCACCTGACAAAAACAACAACAACAAAGATTATTTGTGTCTAAAGAAAGGTCAGCAGTTAGAAACTACCAGCTACTCCATGGGAGAAAGATGAGGCTTTCTGGTCCCATAAAGATTCACAGCCTTGGAAACACTATGCAGGGTTGCTATGAGTCAGCACTGACTCCACAGCACACAACCATCACCAACACCAAAGATTATATGTGTAGTTGAAGACATGCCAAGCCATGAGGAGGGGTAGGATAAAAGATCCTGATGCAGATAGCTCGTGCAATAGAACAAAATTCTTGAGAGTTTTCAGGCCAGAAAAGTGGATACAGAGAGGGGACACAGCAGGCATGGCTGTAGCTAAATCCCATAATAGTAACAGGAGCAGTTTGTCACTAAGGCAGGCGTTAGTATCTCTGTTGTGGTACATCCCACCTGCAGCCAAAACTAGTCACTAAGGATACGGTCCAGGCCGTCTCCATAGCCAAAAAGCATCACTCATACATCTATTCACACATCTGCAATGAGCAACCACTCAGTGAAGCACTGGGCACACAGCAGAGCGTAACTCATGGAACTTGTGTGCCATTGTAAACTGATGCAGAGTGAGGTGGAGAGGGGATAGAAAGGAGTTCAAGTAAGGTTCCTTCTAGAGCAGAGACCTCAATGAAGTGAGGGAGACATGGATCTTGGCAAGGAGCATGATGGCCATGAAATTAACCACATGCAAAGGCCCTGTGGCAGAATCATCCCATTGCTAGTTTCAGCAATAAGACCAGAGTAGGTTTTTTGTTTGTTTTTATTATGAATTTGGGTGAGGTTCACCAAGCAGATCATCAGTTTTATACTCAATTTATACTCATTTAGTTTTATGTCTATTATTTCAATCCCCTCACTATAATATCATTTACCTATTTCCTCCCTATGTTTCCTGTTTCTCTTCCTCTTTCTTTTCTAACCCTTTTGAACTTTGCCTTGGATAAAGGCTGCCCTTTGGATCTTAAATGGTTGATTGTTCTAAAGTTTGTGAAGCACTAGTGTTATTGTTCCCTTATCAACCTACCTTTTGTTTGGCTGAAAATTGAGCCATAGTAAAGAATTCAGTTCCTGACCTAAGAGTAACTAAGGGCCGTAGTCTCCCAGCTTCCAGTAGTCTCTATCTGACCAGTAAGTCTGATGAAATGAGAACTTTAAAACTGAAACTATGGATGTATCTGGAGTCAGACACTACCAGGACCCATAAAGGACTTTGGAGTCAGATACTTCCAGGGCCCAGAAAGGACACTGAAACCTAGTTCATGAACAGGAAGAAGACAAGAACCAGAGTGTAAGGCAGTGGCAAGGCAAAGTCTATGAGAGCTATTCAAGCTAAGAGGCTAGTTGGTAGTGAGGGTCTACAGCTAGCCCTAACCCTGAGCTCTAAACCCCACTGGCACATACTTCCATCCGTTTCAAATGAATAGGATCCTGTGAGTCAACCTCTCTTGTAGCAGGAGAGAAAGGAGGTCAAGAGCAAATCAGAAAGAAAACAAGAAGGAAGGCAGGGATAAGACAGGAATGTATTTTCAGAACTAACTCACACCTAACAGGTGGATGTTCCCATCTGTGCTCTGAGAAGGTTAAAAAATGTCTGCTGTGCCTCACCCTTTATAGGATGAGGAGACAAAGGCAAAAAGGAATAACGCCACCCCCTCTTCATTTCTGTCCCAAGGAACTCATCCGTCAGCGAGGCGTCTTGGAACACACAGAGAAGATGGTGGACAAGATGGACCAAGATCTGAAAACCAGCCAGACACACATCAACAGCATCAAGAGTGTGTTTGGGGGGTTAGTAAATTACTTCAGATCCAAGCCAGCAGAGACCCCACCTGAGCAGAATGGCATCATGGCCACTCAGCCCAACAACAGGTAAGCATGATTTCAGCTGCCTGGATTTGAAAGGCAAGTTGGAAGTAACATAAAGTAGGACTTTGAGGCAATTTTGGGCAAAGATTTTCAGTCAACATCGAGTGTCTTAGAGGTTTGCAAAAACCTTAGAAGGTTTTTACTAGAGGAATTCATCTTCAGATATTCTGAAACCTTTCTCTAGGGCTCATGGTCATGTTCATTTGATATTTCAATCAAAATTAGCTATTCCAATCTAAATTCTTCATAAGTTGGGCCTTTAGTAAATTAGTACTCCAGTAAATTGTGATTGACTCATGGCAACCCCACACACAATGGCACCACGTCGGTGTGATCCAGAGACTGATTTGTCTGAAGTAGATTGCCAGGCTTCTTTTCCTAGCCCATATTGGCTTAGAAGCTTCACTGAAACCTGTTCAGCATTTTAGCAACACACGCCTCCACTGACAGATAGGTGGTGGTTGCGCATGATGCACATTAGCAGGGAATTCTCAAAATTGAGTCTCTCACATGGAGAAAAAGAATTTTAGCACTGAAGCACCACTACTCCACCTCCAGTAATTGTGACCCCAGTAATTTGAAAAACAACTTAGTAAGTACAGGTGTGATGCACTTCATGGAATATTGTGCTTATAAAAGTCTTTATACCCAAAGAACATAACCATAATAAATATTTATGCCCCCAATGAAAGAGCCTCAAATAAATAAATCAAACTCTAAAAGAACTGAAGAAAGAAATAGACATCTCTACAATAATAGTAGAAGATTTTCATATACAACTTTTGATGAAGGACAGAACAGCTAGAAAGAAACTTCAACAAAGACACAGATGAACTAAACAACACAACCAACCAACTTGACCTTACAGGCATATACAGAACGTTCAACCAAACAACAAAACAATATACATTCATTTCGGTGTACATGGAACAGTCTCCAAGATAGACCATATGTTAGGCCAAGAAGCAAACCTCAATAAGTTTTAAAACATTAAAATACCACAAAGCATCTTCTCAGACGACAATGCTATAAAATTAGAATTCAACATTAGAAATTTCAAGGGGGAAAAAATCAAGTACATGGAAATTGAACAACACCTGCTTAAAAGCTTGTTAGTTGTTGTTAGGTGCCATCAAGTCGGTACCAGCTCATAGAGACCTGATGCACAGCAGAACGAAATCCTGGGGCAACCTAACTACTGTTGCCACGCTTGAGTCCATCGATGCTGCCACTTGGCCAATCCATCTTGTTGGGGGTCTTCCTCTTTTTCTCTGACCCTCCACCTTACC